TACAAGATTAATAAAGATGTTTGCAAAAGATCCGCGTCCGCTCTGTGCCCGCCCCACCACACGCAGCCTGTTTTGCTCTGCAAACGCTTTACTTTTTCATAGCAGGTTTCTGCAAACAGGCTGGCGAAGGGGAGAAGGGCTGCTTCTGCACTAGAGTTGGCGGGGAGGGAGTCATCTTCGCGGGGCGCAGATAGTCTAGTGGCTGGCCCACGAACTCTGTGGGAGGGCAGAGGGAGCGTGCGGAGGATCAAGCCGGCAGCTCCCCTTTAGAGACTCTGGATTGGCCCCACCTCGGTCCTCCTTTCTACCCGCCCCGCCCCATTTCCGCCTCGTATCTGGGTACCCTGCCCCTTTTTCTTAGGCTCCGTCCTAGCCTTGGTCAAGCCCCTGCGTGATCCCAGATTACTTCGCCGTCCTCCCTCCGGGTTTCCTGGAGTCCGGCTCCCGCTCTTCGCCTGTTCCTCCCCGTCTGCCCCGCCCCCAGCCCCGCCCCCAGCCCCGCCCTCTCCCTCTCCCTCTGCTCTCACCCGGGCTGAGAGACCTCCGCGTGGGCGCGAGCTTGTGGCGGCTGGAGTGGCAGGACTTGGGAAGTCGGACGTCGGGGCGCGGGGCTCGGGGCCGCATCCGGTCTTCTGCGGGTGTCCGCCCGGCCAAGTTAGGTATCTGAGAGTAGGGGCTGTGCGCACCTGGCCCGGGGAAGCCGGGGGTGGGGGAGGGGAGGGGAGGAAAAGGAGAGGCTAGTCCTGACAGCAGGTCCCCAGGGAGGGTCCCCCCCTCCGGCGGGTCCCCGCCTGGCCCGGGGCGCACCCGCTTTGTGCAGTCTGTGCAGCGAGCGCTCCAGCTCGGCGCTGGAGAGGCCGCTGAGACGCGCGGCCTGGCAGAAGAAGGTGAGGCCGGCGTGAGTGCGCACGGTGTCACTGTGGCCGCGGGACCGGCCCCTCCAGCCCGGGTTCAGCCGCAGAGCCCGCTGCTTCTTGGTGTAGTAGCTTGAGGGGACAGGTGGGGGGCAGCCTCATCAGACACCGCCTCCCCCAGTCCTCTCCATCTCACAGGACAGGAAGCCACAGGAAACTGCCCCAGAATTCAGGGATCCCGTCTCCCTCAGGGGACCCCTGCACGGGGCAGCATCTGCTCCCCCATCCTGGGTCCTGAAACTGGGGACATGGGCCTACCTCATCACTTCCTGCACCACCCTGTGGGGCAAGAAGCCTTGGCTCATCCGCTTGAACAGCATCTGTAAGAACAGGGTTTGCAGGCCCTGGGGGTCACAGAACCGGCTGTTCCTCACCTGGCCTGGGAGCAGAGATCATGGGGGAGTGTGAGGAGGAGCCTCCCCCAGTCCTGGCCGTTCCCACCCCGCCAGCCTTGCCCCTCACCCAGGCAATGAGCCAGGCGGTGGCTGTCAGTAAGGACACCCAGGAAGTTTTTGAAGCTTACAGTTCCGTCACCTGGGAAGAGAGAGAGAGGAAGGGGTGCTGTGGGGTCCTCCCCTGCAGAAGGCCCACCCTGCATATGCTTTAGGGGTGTATTTGCATCTCCTTCCAGACATTAGAGAACCCAGTCCCACCTCCAGCCAAATGTCAACCCCAGTGGAATGGGGGAGAAATAGCCCTTGCCCTCGGGGATCCCCAAATCAGGGTGAGGATTAACACAGCAGAAATGTTTAGGGGCTATGGGATAGGTGTGTTGATCAGAGCAGGCTTCCTGGAAGAGGGAACTTTAAAATGGGACCAGGCCGGGGATTCGGTGGGCAAAGGAGACATTGTCCAGGGCTAGAAGTGAGGGAGGACAAGACGCCAGGGATGGGGGCACCCACCATCCAAGTCTGCCTGCTGCAGAGCCTCACACATCTCCTGTGGGCTCAGCTGGATGCCCACATTGCGCAGGGCGGCTCTCATGCTGCACATGTCCACAGTGCCTGTCGGGCTGGAGCTGAACAGTTTGAAGATCTCCTGGAAGGCTGCGGGCAGGGAGGGAGGCAGGCAGCAAGGTGAACCACACACAGGGGCACGGAGATCCGCCCACTCTAGCTCAGAATGGTCCTGAAGACTTGGGTGACTCCCACTGCTGGGGCATTATAACATTGAAAGAACACCAGTGACTACTGTGTATTGGCACTTGTCAAGTCCCCATTCAAGTTTCATGTTTTGACATGTTTGTATGAAAAGACATTCAACACTTAATGTCCAAGGTCCCACCACCAGTAGACTGGGCAGTGCTGGGCTCTGGAGCTGCAGTGCTCTGAGGCTCCCGGAGCCCTGCTGGCACCTGGTGGGGAGCAGGCCCTGAAGATTACTGGTGGTGAGTGAAATGGCTGCTTTGAGGGGCCCCTGCCAGGGGTACCGTGGCTTTGGGGCCCTCAAATATAGACCCCACAGCCCCAGATTCCGGGGGGGGGTGGGGAACTCAGATTATTTTTCCCCATCCTCTCTCCCAATTTCCTTCCTCCCTTCCTCTTCATTTTTCACGTGTTCTGTCCATCCATCCATCCATCCATCCATCCATCTCTCTCTCTCACAACACACACACACACACACGCACATATTAGTGAGCCCTGGAACTGTAAAGATTAGCCAGTTAGACTGGCATTGGGGACAGTTACAATACGAGCACCAACTTCTCACAATGATCCCAGTCTCTGGGGAGGTGGCCCTGTGCTGTTCCTCCCCTCCTCCCCCACTCCCAGCCCGGGGGCCCTCACCCGCCAGCAGCCGGGCTGTCAGGGGTAGCAGGTTCTCGTCCGCAGAGCTGCTTCAGGAGGAAAAGGGTGGAAAGGACTTTGCACCTGCTGCACGGAGATGCCAGGGCCAGGCAGGCCTTACCCCAAACCCCGCACCTCAGGCCTGGTCTCTGGTTCCCGCCCTTACCTCTGAGACCCGGAGCCTGACTGCACTGAGCTGGCAGCTGCAAGGCGCTTGAACTCCTTGGGCCTGCGGGAGCCCTGCTCAGCCCCTACGGCCTTGACGGATGCTGGCTCCCTCTGGGTCAGCGGGGCAGTGGGCTGCTGAGGCCTCCCCTTCTGCATCTGGCAGCACCGCTGCTCTCCTGGGTCCTGTGTGGGCAGTCTTCCAGGCTGCGGTGGAGGCCTTGGAGGCAGGGAGAAGACAGGGCTGGGGGCCCCGCCCACGAGAGTGCGCAGACTCTCCAGGGTAAGGGTGGGGGGCGGGGAGGCTGAGACCAGGCCCTGTGGAGGAACAGGCTCAGCTCTACCTTCTCCCAGGACCCCCACACCAGCCTGCACCTATGGTCCCCAATCCAGGGGATTCTGCGGGCAGTAGCTTGTCCCAGCAGACCCTTCACTAGCCCTGGTTACCTGAACATCCCCTGTGCCGACGACGGGGATCTCTTGGTCTTCTGCCTTCGGCTGCCTGAAAGGCAGAGTCACAGGCTCTGAGGCTGGCTTTGGGGTGGACTTTAGCAGCTTTTGGCAGGGGGGCACTCTGTCCCTCGCCACAGGCCTACTTCTCTTTGCGGGGGGTGGGGGGGGGACCTGTGGCTTTACTCTTTTGTGTTTCTGCTCCCCTTAAGGCATCCAAATTTGTGACTCCACTCCAGAAGCTCACACAGGCTGGCAGAGGCCCAGGGAGAAGCAGGTCCTGGAGTCCCGAAGTCAGGGCGTGGGAAGGAGGGGTCCAGCCCAAGGTGGGGCTGTGGCCCCCCCCCGCCTTCCCCCAGGTCCCCTGGGAGGGAAGGATCTCCTCTTCCAAACCATGCAAACTTGCAAACCACAGTTCACAAAATACTCCAGGAAGGTGCATCCCGACACCCCAGCGCTTCCCCAGATACTCATCTCTGCATCTCCTCCTCCTTCCTCTTTCCAGTCTCCTGTCCTCCATTTCCCTCTGCCACCCCCCCCACTCTGGCCCTGGCCCATTCCCAAGTGTTCACCCCTTCCTAATCCCACCCTCCTAGGCCCTGGGCACTTCCCTCGTTGGCCCCCTCTCAAGGCAGGGCAGGCTCCTGAGGTCCTGCAAGGCTGGGCTTTCACCTGACGGGGAGCCTTGGTGCTGGTGGGTCTGGAGGCTGACCAGGGCCCAAGCGATGGCTCTGCCTCTCGCCTCCCTTTCTCCCCGACTTCCCTTTTCCCTGCCCGTGTTCTTCCCACATTCCGAACTCCCTTCCCTCCTTTGCTTCGAGCTCTCCTCTTCCAGAGCTTTCCCACATTGCCCAACGTCGCGGGGAGGCTTGTGCCTTCGTGCGCATGTTTAGTGCACGTGTCCGGCTCGCCCGCCTGCGTGTGGGTGTGTGCTTGTGCACACGGCCCGCGTGGAACTGTCTGTGGGTGGACGTGTGTCTGTGCGTGCCTGTGTGCGGTACGAGTCAGCGGACGGTGTGTGTGCGCGAGTGTGAGTGTGTCTGGGTTGCTCGAGGAAGTACACCATTACATACTCGCCCCTACATTTTGAGCTACTTCCAGCTCAAGGCTGTGGCCCCTGGAGGGGCAGTCCTTTGGCTTCCTTCTTCCCCTCCTTTGAGCCCCTGGACACCGTCCCTTCCCCGTGCCAGGCCCTTGCTGTGGACAGAAGCGGGAAGAATTCCTTTCAGCCTTGCCTCCTCACCTGGCCAGCCCACCCCCAGGAGGTTCTCTCCTAAGAAGATCCCAACATGTCCCTGGCTTCAGGCCAAAAGGAAGCCCCACTTTGTGACCTAAGACACCCGAAGCCTCAGAGAGGGCACCAAGGCCTCCCCGAGACGGCTCACGAGTCTCTGCCGCTGGCTGAGAGGTCTGGAAGGTGGGAGCGAAGTGGAAGGACCCCTGGGGAGCGAGGAGGGGCCAAATAGGGCTGGTAGAGCCCTCTGGGACAGGCTGGGGCAGCTCAAAAATGGGGGTGGGTGGAAACGAATACTACACGATGTGTTAACTAACTAGAATTTAAATAAAGTCTTGAAAGAAAAAAACCATGGGGCTGACATCCCTAAAAAATCGAGACCGGGACTCCACAGCCAGGTGAGCTCGCTGGTCCGGGAGCATTTGCACAAAAAGTCTGAGTCGGGGGCCAGCACTGGAGGCTTTACTGGTTTTGCCTAGTCATTTCTCTGGGGAAGTAGGGGACGACACCTTAAAATGGATTTTCAGCAATAATGGACTCCCTTTCCTGGTTCTCGGCACCGAGCTGCAACGCAAAAGAGAGAGTGTCACTTGGGCCGCCGTGGCAGGGACAGGGAGAGGGGTGAGCCCAGAGGCCTCTGTGGGGAGGGCCCGGGGCGGGGGGAAAGAGGGCCTCTTCCTGCTGCCTGCTGATGGGCAGCTGGCCCTCTGTTGTGTCCATTCGTCACCAGGAAGCAAGGGGTGCTGCTCCCTCACATTTGGCTCCATGGAAGCGTCCTGGGCCCAGGGCCATCAAATTCTCAGCGGGGCAGATGCGAGGCTAAGCTTTTCCCATGAGGGTGAGGCCATCTGCCCTCTGGGTGACCGAGCGTCCTAATGCTAGAACGGCCCTTCCCATGTCGAACCCAGGTCCTTGCCGGGGCCCGGAAGTGCTCACCCTCCATGGTCCCCAGGCCTCCTCCAGCCCTGGCCTTGGCACTGTGCCTCAGTGCACCGGAACCTTGTTTCCAGCAGCCTCTATGAGGTCACTGAGGTTGAGACATCACAGCCCACCCCATCCCCTACCCAGCCCCTCATTCCATTTCCCCACCCCTACCCAGCTGTGTGAGCAGTGGGCCCACCCACACATCCTAAGCACACCCCCTCTTCGGGAAGCTGTAGGCCAGCCTCACTTACCCTTTCACGGCTCCTTTAGGTGGAGGGGACCAGGTCTGTTGCTGGAGAAGCTTCACTTCCCCTTCAATGGTGGCCCTCTTGATCCCCGGCTTGCTGAAGCCGAGGTAAGGTTGGAAGAAGTTCTTGTCTTCCTGCTTCTGAGCTTTCTGTGACTCCTCGGCTTTAAGTGGTTTCTCTAGCAAGTCCTTAATGAGCTTTTTCTTCTCTTGCTGGTCCATGGACAGCTGGATATCGGGATCTGTAGAGGGTGCCTCGACCTTCTGAGGTGGAGCTTTGATCATATGCTCCAAGTTGGGCAAGTCCATCTTGCTGGAGGAGGCCACGGCGGCCAAGGAAGAGGCAAAGTTGACCAGATCGGCCAGGCCGATGCCTGGCGAGAGACTGGAGGAGGACGGGTGGGGGTTTGGTGGCTGCTGGGAGTTGGTGGTGGGTGGAGCTGGCTGGGCCCTGGGGTTCTGGAGCTGCTTCTTGGAGCACGTGGTGGCCTTGGGGCCAGACTGCTCGTCCTGACAGCCAGCGGTCTTACCTGCGTTCTTGCCACGCTGCATGTTGATCACCCGCTCCAGGCTGTGTTCTGAGGCCTGGATGTGTTTGTCTGCCCAGAAGAGGTGCTTAGAGGTCTGCACGCGGATAGAGCGTTGGTTGGTGGACGCCTGGTCCTCCACTACTGAACTCAGGTAGCTAGAATTTGACCTCACACTCCACCGACTGACATCCTGCTGCGTGGGGGGCTGGAGGGACTCTGTCCTAGACTCCCGTTGCTCAGGGTCCTTGGGCTTGGACTCCATCTCCAGCTCCAGTTCTGGCTCTAGGTCCAGGTCCACTTTGTGTGGGGGCTCCAGTTCCAGCAATTCTTTCTTCAGCTGGAAAGTTTCAACTGACGCTGAGGAGACCCCTGGCCCCTGAGGTCCTTCTGGGGCCAATTCTCCATCCCACTTTCCTGCCTTTGTCCCCTCCCCCTGCCTCTTGGCAGAGACCTGCCTGGGGCAGGGAGGCAGTGTGCGGCGGGGGTGAGCACGGGTGTGCATGAGCATGCCAGCACTGGCCGGGTGCAGGCTCCCAGGATTGTCAAGGATTTAGGGAAGACGGGCCTTAAGGAATCCTGCCCCTTACCTACCACCTCCCCCGAAGAGGTGCCCCTGCCCACTGTTACCTCGACCTCATCTTCCTCTGGTACCAGCTGGTGTTGGCTTAGGCCACTCCTACGACAGAAGGGGACAGAATGGATGACAGGCCTCCAGGGAGTGGGTGGGGTGGCCTTCGGGGGATTGGAGGTCTCTGGGGCCCTCAAGATTCCCTCCCTTGTACAGGGGCCGGCAAGACGCCCCCAGCTCGTCCACTCCCCTCGCTATCCCTGCATCCACCAAGAATTCTGGAGCAGAATTTTCAATCTTTAGGGGGTTTAGGAGGTGCCTGGAGAGCTTGCCAAGTTGCCCCCTACCCCAAAGAGGGATCCAGTTAGTTGGAGGTAAGGCCCAGGATTCTTCATTCTAATCAATGAGCCAATGCAGCTCACTTGGAGAACCAGTGCCCAGAAGTTGGCTCCCCACAGAGGGAGAAGCCCAGGGCAAAATCCCTCCTCCTGACCTGCCCAACCTCAGCTTGGCAGATCTGAAAGGCAGGGGTGTGTGTGTGGAGGGTCCCCTCAGTTCTTGTTGGCACTTTGCTGCCATCGGGGCCCTTATCCTCGGTGCTCAGCCACTGAGACTCCCTGTCCTTCCTCAGGCATCTGCCCCCCGCCCCCACCTCGGGTCGCTCTGTGCCAGAGCAAGGCAGCTAGAAGGGCTCAGTTCCCATTCATGTCTCTGAGTGCACCCCGCCACCCCTCAGTCCTTCACTAATGTCAGGGGCTGGAGGCAGAAGCAGAAGGCAGGTGGTAGGACTCCTCCCCGCCCCAACACTGCCCTTGGGGAGATTTTGGAAGGAAGCAAGATGGAGGGAGATCCCGGGTTGGGGGGTGTATGAGAAGTTGGCAGTGGTGGCAGGTGGTAAGGGTTGGCGGTCCTGGAGGATGGGGAACTGGCTCTCACTGTGTCTCCACAATGTCCACTGACTCCTTGCCACAGCAGGGAAATCCATTGGCACCTGGCAGGAAGAAGGAGGTGAGGGCAGGGGAGCTGCAGGTGGGGACATCCCTGGGGGGTTCTGGAGCCCCGGCAGGTGGTGCTGCTCCAGCTACCTCCTTCCTTCCTCCCTGTCCTGCATCTCAGCTCATTCGTCCTCCCCTCTCCCATCCTGCCCCTTGGCTCCCTCCTCTCTCCAGTGTCACCAGGTCTGCGCTCCATATCTGCTCCCCTCCGTGCTCGAATTTGCCTTTCCTTTGGCTCTCCCCAGTCCATCACCATCCTCCACGAGGATGGATGTTAACAGGCTTCACTGCAACTTACTGAGTGCTACTAGGTCAGGCATCATATCGGGTGCTTTCTGTGCTTTATTTCATTGATTCACCACAAAAAATGAGAAAAGGTTCATTTGCCCAAGGTCCCTCAGCTGATGATGGTTGCCGACATCAGGAACTGAATGCAGGTTTGACTAAAGAAAAACCCTTAACTCCCCTGTCCTGCATGCTGTCCTACCCAGGGGTCTGTAACTGCGTCGGGACACCTAGAGAACCTTCCATTCCTGCTCCTCTGCAGCCTTTCTCCACTCTTCTCTGGCCAGGCTTCAGATCTGGCACTTACCCTAATCCTGGCCCCTCCTGCCCTGAAGCCCCGCCTCTCCTCCAGGCTTCTCACTCCCTCACGTCCTGGGTCACCCGCCCAGGCATTTGATCTGCGGGGATGCTGACAGCAGAGTTCCCATCACCTTCTGCAGAAGGGACTGAGCAACGCCTTGGGGAAGGTTTCCCCGCCCCAGTCACCTCCCTGGAAGCTTGTATCTTTTACTGAAGAAGCTTCTTTTTTTATCCTCTGGGCGGTAGGGGCACCAGGCTGTCCCATTCTCTGCTCCCCAGGGTGGTAGATGGGGATTGATGGTGGAGCCATCATGGCAGTGGGAAAGCCAGATCCCCGGGAACCTAGAGCGTGGCAGGAAATAATGGACTTGGCTCTGGCTAAGAATTGCTCCCAGGATTATATCCAAAGGATCAGAGTGTGCCATGGCCTCTTTCTAGAGATGTAGAGGCTGTTTCTGCATTTGGGATTTGGGCACGTCCATGTTCCTCTTGGGCCTGGGCATCTTGGATCAGCCACACGGTTGGGCTAGGAGTGCACTACCATGGACAGGCTCCCAAGAGCTAGCTCGGTGGTCTCTGGAATCTTCCACCAACTTGACTGCCATGTTCCGTTGGCTTCCTTCATGTCTCTCTTCATTTGCAACTCCAGCTATCCCCAGTGCTGCTTTTATCCAGGCCTCCTGCCTCAGAGCCTTCCTTTGCTCGCTTTGCAAAATTTCCCAAGACAATCTAATCAACACCCATAGCCTAAACCCTTCCATGAACAGCAACAGTGTGTGGATAGGAAGAGAAAGTGTTATGGTGTGAACCTCATAGCGGCACTGGGGGTTGGAAGCAAAAGTCTGAGGTTGACTCAACTTGGGACCTCTGTGCCCAACTTGGGAATGTTCTATTAGGGATTCAGGTGACATTCTATAATATGTGAAACAATTACAATTTCCAACTGCTGGTTGCTAGTGTGTAGAAATGTATATCCTGTAACCATCCTAAAATCCTATCAATTCCAGTTTTTTGTTTTGTTTTGTTTTGTTTGTAGATTCCATAAAGTTCTCTACATAAACGACGAGGGTGTGACTAGGGGCACCTGGATGACTCAATCGGTAGAGCACGAGACTCTTGATCTCGGGGTCGTGGCGTTCAAGCCCCATGTAGGGTATAGAGATTGCTTACACTATTTTAAAAAAGTATGTGTGTGACTCAAGACAGTTTTACTTCTTCCTTTCCAAACTGGATGTCTCTTATTTCCTTTTTCTGCTTTACTGAGAACAATGTTCAATACAATGCTGAATAGAATTGAGAGTAGACATCCTTGCTTTGTTCCTGACCTTAGGGAGGAAGCATTCAGTATTTCACCATTAAGTATGATGTTAGCTGTAGTTTTTCCTCATAGATGACCTTTATCACGTTGAGCAAAGTTAGCTTCTATTCCTAGTTCACTCAGTTTTTACAGATTATTTTTTTAGAGAGAGAACACATGTATGTGCAAAAGATGGGGGAGGGACAGGAAGGAGAGAATCCTAAGCAGACTCCACGCTCAGTGTGGAGCCCAATATGGTGCTCGATCCCACAACCCTGAGATCATAACCTGAGCTGAAATCGAGTCAGAAACTTAACCAACTGAGCCACCCAGGTGCCCCTTAGTTCACTTAGTTTTTAGTTAGGAAGAGATGTTAGATTTTGTCTCATGCTTTTTCTGCATTTGTTGAGATGATTATATGATTTTTCTTTTATATTCTTTTATTTTTTAGTAATCTCTACACCCAATGTGGGGCTAGAACTCATGACCCTGAGATCAAGAGTCGTATGCTCTTCTGACTGAGCCAGCCAGGTGCCCTTGTTTTTCTTTTATATTCTGTTAATATATTGTATGTTATGTATAACATGAACAATGTTATATATTATTCTGTTAACAATTCTCTTATATTCTGTTTATGGTGAAATAAATTAATTTTTGAATGTTAAAATCAATCTTACATCCCTGAGATAAATCTCATCTGGTCATAATGTATTATCCTTTTACACATTGTTGAATTTGATTTGCTAACTTTTTGAAAGAAATCTCACATGAGGTTCATAAAGTATATTGGTGTATAATTTTCTTACATTGTCTTCATCAGGTTTTGATATTAGAATAATGTTGGCCTCATAGAATGAGTTGGGAAGTATTCTCTCTTCAGTTTCCTGAGTTTGCATAAAATTGGTATAATTTCTTCCTTATGTTTGGCAGAATTCACAGGTGAAGCGTGTGACCCTCAGCCTGTAGTTTCCTTGTCCATTTTATCTAAGTTGGCAAATTTATTGGCATAAGGTGTTCATAATATTCTTTATTATCCTTTTCATATCTGTAGATTCTGTAGTGATGCCACCTCTTCCATTTCTCATATTGGTAATTTTTGTCTTCTTTTTGTCCTGTTCAGTTTGGCTAGAGATTTGTCAATTTTGTTCATCTTCTTGAACCAGACAGAGATATGTCTGTTTCCTGCCTCATCATCCTAAAGTGACATCTGCCAGGGAATCAGTCCTGCAGTCAGATTCCCAGTCAGCTTTTTATGATTTCACTCTTGAACATGAATAGCCTAGCATGACTAGACATTTGAGGAAACTACCCACCTGCAGTTTACAGACGAAGAGAAAAGATGACTCTAGAATACCAGAGGTTATTTGGGAAACAGAAAGGAGCTTTAAAAATACTCTAAAATCTTGAGATTCCGAGATGTAGATATTCAACTATATATTGCATCCAAAAAGCAAGAACAGGATGCTTTTTGAAAAATTAAGAAAAGAAAGAACTTTTGGCAAAAAGGCTTGGAAAATAAAAGAAAATCTTCCCAGAAAGTAGAACCAAAATATCAAGACAATGTGAGAGAAAATGATCACAAGGCAGTCCAGTTCTGGGTTATAGAAAGGGGATCTAGAAAGAATAGAGAACATGGAAAAGCAACGAGAACAGTTTTCATGAGCTGAATGATGATGTCATTGGCTTAAAAGTGTTCACCGAAAGCCCTGCACTATAGATGTCAAAATATCCTTGCTGTAAAAGTTCATTGCACCAGGAACAAAGAATTCTTAAATGCTTCTAAAGTGGAAAAACCAGTCACCTACAAGGGGAGGGGAATCGATTATACTGGCAGCAGTGTTAGCAACAATGGCTGCCTTTAAAATTCTGAGGAAAATGTTTTTTAACCTGTAGGTTTATATCCAGCCAAACTATCATTTCAGACATGGAAGGACTCAGGAAATTTACTTCCTCTTTTTTGAAGGAAGTTATTTGAGGATGTTCTAAAACAAAATAAAGGTGTAAAACAAGAGAGCCAGAAAGGAAATAGTGGTCCACCTCAGGAAAGCAGCTAAGTCCCAGGATTTTAACTGTATAGAGGCAAGAAGATGAAGGGTTCTGGGCAGTAGATTTCTGAAATAAAGAAAATGTGATAGAATAGTTGATTAGATGTAGAGGTTGATGAAAACTAACACTATGATAAAACCAAAGAATATAAGGGAAAGGCAACTAGAAACTCCGGGAAAAACAAAAAGCTGTATGAGAAAGAAAAGGTAACTGTGGTACATTTCTTGGTTCTGCAGTGAACAGTAGTTATGAATCACAATAATGTAAGTCCAGTTTTCAACTTTCAGAATCAACATATAAATAAAAATTGGAAAATATATTTGTGGCTATAGGACAATGTAAATGTTACCAACCTTGATATTTAAAAAATAAAAATACAAGTTAGCATTGTTGGGAGGTGGGAGGGAGGGAAGAAAGCTGAAGGGAAGAGTAGGGGCACTAAAAACTTCATCTTACTATGTGTGGTATCAAAAGATATTATCTAAAGTGATGAAAAATAAAGACATAAATATATTAAACTTACAAAGGCATCAGCAGATCTAAAAATGATGTTGGGAGGATGGGGGAGGATGGCTCCATTAGAGCGGGAAGGTGATAATGTCTAAAACTGATAAACCAAGAAAGAGTCCGTGGGCTTGTAGAAAGATAAGAAGGTAATTAGGCAGAAAAATAGTTCTAATGGAACAATGTGGCTGCTCTGAGGAGTGAGACTGGGGGTGTTCTATAGGAGATACTTGATTTTCATCACTGAATAAGCTCTTCAGAGCTATTTAATCATATGCATGTATTTCTTTGATAAAATTACCTGTTGAACCCCTAAGGGCCAGGCATTGTTCTAGGGGACACAGTGATGAACACACAGTTTCTGCCTTCTTGGGGTTTCCAAGCCTGTGGCTGGGACCACAGAAGATCCTCTAATCTCTATTTCTTATCCCCACTTCTCCTGAGCTCTAGACTCAAGCTCCAGTCACTGATTGCACATTTATCCCTAAAGGGATCTCTCTCTTGTCAGAGCCTTTGATGTCTCCTATCTCTGAAATGTCCTTGTTTTCTACTGTGATGATGCTCAGTGCTCACTTCTTCCTGGAGACCTTCGGGATTCTACCCTGTGGCATCTCCTCCAGTTGCCCCAGCCCAGTCCCTGCAGACCTCTGAGCACAGGACTCTTGCTGACCCTTAATGCAAGGTGGGCAGACTGTGTGGGCTTCCCACTTTGAATCTCTGATCCCCTGCACACACAGTCTGCAAGGTGGATGCTCAGCAAAAGTCTGTGCAAAGAAATGAACACCCCGCCAAACCACACGGCTCGTCCTCCATTTTTCACCTCAAGTTCACACCCTCCATGTCTAGACTCTAGTGTAGCCAACAGTTTGCATGTCTGATCCATCGTCCTTCCTAATCACTCATGTCTTGATCACCCCCTCTGCCCTGTAATCTCCCCCTCCCTGATAATCCTCCATTCTATCACCCAAACTGAAACCTGGGTTACTTGTGACCCCTCTCAGTTCCCCAGCTTCTGACCTCCCTACCTCTGATGTTGACCTTGTGCAGGTCCCTTTCTCCACCCCCACTACTTCTCATCTCCCAACACCAAAATCAGTACAAACCTAGGACTGATCACCTGCCGGCACTCCACGCTGAGTGCTTCCCATTACATCCTCTTCACCACCCTATGCCCAAGTGGTCATGACTCTGCTCTCACAGATGAGGAAACTGCACAGGTCACACATCCGTTAAGAGAAGTGCCATGACTGGAACCCAGGACTGACTGGCTCCGAACCCCAAGATGCTAACTGCTGGGTTGTTTGAAATCTCTTTAGGCATCTAGCTGGACCACTACAACCAAATTTCCCTCCAACTTGGGCTACGTAATGACCCCAGAGTGAGCCTGTTGCATCACACCCGCCTCTGGTCACATCCAGACTGGAGAGTGGCTTCCGCTCTCTTGTTGCATCTCCTGGTATCTAGCTCCCTCCTTGCTCCAAGCCCAAGCTCCCCCAGAGCACAGCAGGCCCTTTTGTGCCTCAGTCCCTTTGCACTTGCTATTTCAGATACCCTGGAAGTCTTTCTTCTGGCAAAATCCTACTCATCCCTGATAGGCCAACCCACCTCTCCAGTGTCATCTTCTCTGTGACACACTTAGCTGTCCTATCCACATTTTAATTTTTTGTTAACTCATTAGACTCAGGGCCTAGCACAAGAGTTAAGAGCTGAAGGGGGTACAATAAAGGTCACAGGAGTGATTTAAGGTATCTGCATCAGTTTGTTACCCCACACGTTTCAGAAAGGGAAAAGCTGTTCTGTGGTTGTTGGTTCTTGGCATATTTTTAATGCTGGCCCACGTCCTCCTGGGAGAGAAGATCCCGAGAAGAAAGCCCCTATTTCAGTGGAAACCTAAGGGGCAAACAGCTTTGCCCACTGCTACAGAGCAGAGGGCAAAGGACAAAGGAGGCGCTCAGGAAGTATTTGTGGAAGCCGACCGCTTCTCTCTGCAAAGGCTCCAATCATCAACCAGGAATAACTGAAGGGGATTTTGGGGTTATTAGCAGTTTGGGACAATTCATGAGTCGTTTCCTGAGCACAAGGCCGCTGTTCCTTCCGTGTGCCCAGAACCCCTCCAAGAGTGGGCTGAATCTGCAGCCTGTACTCCAAGGTGTGCATGTGGGCCTGTGCACACAAGCTTGCGCACCGCGCAGGGCCCAGGCTGGGCGCGCTGGTCTCGGGTAGAGGGGTTGGTCGGCTGGGGTCGACCTTCCTTCCAGGCGCCCCGGGCTCCGGGAGCAGGGGGAGGGGCCCCGGGCTGATTTCCCCGCCCCGCCCGGCCCCGCCCATTCCTCGGCGCCCCGCCCCACCGCGCGCCAGGCCGCTCCCACCTGTCACCCCCATGCTGACCGAAGCTCTGTCGGGGAGGCGGGGAGCGGGCTGGTCGCTGCTGCCCCTCCGCCTCCAGTGCGCTCTTTGGTTGGGGGCTGTGGGGGGCGCTGGAGATGCTGGGGGCGCCTGCGCCTGTGATGTCGCCGCCTCTGTGACGTCCCTGCCCGGACCCCACGGACGGAGGCGGAAAAACGCTCAGGATTCCCGACTGCGCCACCCTGAGCACTCTTCCCCGCAGGCCCAGAGGGAGCCACCTCCGGTAAGCTTGGATGGCCTTTGCACCTGCCCCTTTCTGGGGTGCAAGACCCCTCCAGGAAGCTGCTGAACCTGCAGCCTGTACCCCAAAGTCTGCATGTGTGCCCATGCACACACACATAGCTACTTGAGCAAAGCTTCAGGGGGTGTGGAGCCAGATGGGACAAGGCCCCCCGCCCCCTGTGTGTCAGTGGCATCCATTTTCAGGTGGGCCCCTGTCCTGGAAAGGCCCAGGAACCCACTCCTGCAAAGTCATCTCTGCTCACTCAGTCCTGCTCCCGGTACTGATCTCTGGAGGCCAGGCCTCAGGGACAGGAGAGGGTGGGGCAGTCTTTGTTCGGGGCTCCTGGTGCGCCCTCACCTCTCCACGTCAGGCCACTGCCTGGGGCGTGTTGACCTCTCCTCCTCAGCCTGCCGTGTTTGGCCAGGGACTTCGCTATGGCCACTGGGTGGGGCATCTTGCCTAACTGGTCTGAATGGACAGGCCAAAAGTAGGAGTGGAAGCGCCCACTGGGAGGGGTGGTGGGAAAAGTGACCTCACTCAAGGGGTGGAAACATTCCTTGCCCAAAATCAATGGCAGCTGTGAGAAAACCCCAAGGCGGCAAAGGGAGGCAGCTGTTAGGATCTGAGGTTCTGTAAGCAGGCAGGCAAGAGTGGGGACAGCCAGGGCCTCAGACATTTGTCATCACCCCACACTTTATTGCTTACAAAGAGTACCACCTGAACTCTGCAGTACAAGGCTGCAGCTCTTCACGTGCTGGGGGCCGGGGGGGGTCTCTCCCTGGGGAGCAGAATGGCTCGATGTGGACAGCTGGGCAGAGGCCACCTTGGCAAGACACTGGGATGAGCTTCCCCCGAGGAGGACTCTCAGGGGGACACCCCTCACCTCCAGGAGAGGAGGCTCGCAGGCCCCCACACAAGGATTCACAGTTGATTAATGCTACATGGGCCCTGATCAGCCCCCCCACTGAAGAAGGGGCAATGGGGTATGGTTGGGGGGGGGCTCATCTTAAAGAAATGCGGAGGTTTGAGGGGTCATGCGCGTGGAGACAGGTCAAGACTTGAATGCCTTCACACCCCGCCTCCTGGCCTGCTTATGCGCATGCAGAGCCACTGACCTGCCCTCCTGGAGGGCAGCCATGAAAGTGCTTTGAGGTCATCAGAGTGCAAAGTGCGGTTGGCAGTGCCCCCTGAGGCGAGGGGCCGGGCAGGGCCAGCGTGAGTGTGAGGCCTGGGCTGTGTCTCAGGAAGCTGGTGCGCCTGATGTCTAAAGCCGTGGCCGGGGGAGACAGGAGCGCCTGCACCCGCTGCTTTTTTGCACACGGATCACAGCCCATCCGCAAACTGCTCGGGTTGGGCCAGCTCCCGCCACCCTTCCCTTCCACAGATGAGAGGGCTGACGGCCAGTGAGTCATGGGCCGTTCTGGGTCTGCAGCCACGGCTGGGGGCCTGCTGCTCTGGGGAAGACTGGTGGCCAGCAGCAAAGGGACACGTGCTTGGGGACTGAGAACCATTTCACTTAGACACCTGTGGTCCTTGGCGGAAGCTGAGTCCAGCTCCGGACCCGTGTTGCTACGCCCTGACGGTGTGCCCTGGTCTCCCAGGGAGACTTCCCAGCGTCAGGCGTGGCTCCCTCCCTGACTCTGTCAGGAAAGTTCCTAGATCGAAAAGGGGCTTCAGTGGCCACGCAAGGGGATCAGAGGGCGCCCCGTTCACCCAAGGGTGGGTACAGCTGCTGCCCCGCTCCTGTACTGGACCTGGGTGTGGGTCCTCAGACACTCGACACCCTTCCACCTGCTCAGAGGCCGAGGGACTCGCCCACCCCTCCCTGACCCAGGCCAGAAGCTACGCTCCCGCCGGCCAGCAAGGGGCCCACTGATCCAAACAGGTCAGGCCAGCTCACGGGGACCACCAGGGCAGAGAAGACCCTTTTCGTTCGTTCCCCATGGACGGGAAGAGGCCTCCTGCCTGCCTCCTCCTCCTCCTCCTCCTCATGTGGGCACAGGGTGCTCTCCCGGCGGGGTCAGGCGGGACACGGGACGTCCTGGGAGGCATTCTGCCTGCCCCTAGTCGCATTGCTGAGCCAGGGGGTGGCAGACCCCTGGGAGCAGGCTGAGCCTGGGTGCCAGGGGCGGCACCGAGCACCAAGAAGGCAGGCCGCCTCTGGCAGAGTGGAGTCAGTGGTGGAAGGCTGGCTCAGGGCCTGTTCTCCAGCTGGCCATGCTTGACCCTCCAGCTCCAGGCAAAGCTGCCGTCAGGGGCCAGGGTGCACTGCAGGTCGATGCCCGAGTCCGGCACCTCCATGTCATAGCGCACGGGCTGCCCATCCTTGGTCACTAAGCTGAAGGCTGCGGCCGGGATCTGGGGGCAGAGCAAACCAGCGGGCCTGAGACTGTGGCACGGGGCTCAGAGGCTGCCTAGAAGTGCCAAGCTGAGGTCTCCCTCCAGCCAAGCAGGCAGTCCTGAAGGCCTACTCTTGCCTTGAGTCCTGGAGGACTCGGAGAGTCTCACCTGGCCCCAGGGTCGGTCCTGAGGAAGGAAAAGCCTTCCTCCTGGAGGGCTGGGCCAGGTACACTGGTTTCCGGGACTCTGCCTCTAAGTAAGCGCATACCTGCCCCCTTACCTGGCTGCTGATGCCAGTTGCGATGTCCCCCACCTTGACCCGGTGAAACTCCCGGATGTGCAGGTGTTCGCCATTGAGAGACTGTATCTGGATTTTCACACCTAGAAGGCAGGCGGGGACTGTCAGTGGAGTGGCCGCTGGGTCCCTAAGGAGCCCCATGCAGAGGGACGCAGGACAGCCGTGAGGATTCTGACATGAAGCTTAGGCTGGAGTGGCCCTAATGGCAAACACCTGCTGGCTCTTCCTGGTAATTTTCTGTCAACCCCTAGAATTCAGCTTACACGACGCAAAGAGCTAAGGTTGGCTCTTTTGGGGAACTAGTATTCCAGTTTGCACACAAAGCAGAATGGAAGTGGAAACGGAGACTCTTAAATTAGCTTGTGGACAACTCAGGCTGTCATGTTCTCTGAGTTGGAGCGGCCGTCAGCCAGGCCATGGGCGCTTGAGGCCATGTGTCACGCTGGCGCTGGGAAGAGCCAGGGATCAGTAAGCCGATGAAACCCTTGATCAAAATCACAATGCAACCTATACAGCCACGCTTGAAAACATCTCATCTTAGGACTTGAAATCCCAGAGGAGGATCCCAGCAAACTTGCTGCTGAGTTCTTATCTTGTTCCTCCTTTTTCCTTCCGAAGACATTATTTCTTGACTCCAGGCCAGGAGAGCCTGCTCTGTGCCCCAAGTGAGGGGCCTCCTGGAACTCCATCAGCAGCCCATGAGGGGCAATGGTCCTTCACTGCCCCACCAGGGAAGGCTCTTGGGCAATCGGGGCCTCCGCTCTAAACCGACGTAACGGCCAGGTAGCTCCAGTCTGGGCACCAGGTGCCGCCCCCCCACCCCAGGCCCCCACCAGCGGAAGGGGGACCTAAACTGCCTCAGGCTCCCTAATCCCAGGCGGATCAAGTTCTGTGGGGGCCGCTGAGCAGGCAAGTGCTGGGCTGTACCATTGAAATAGCTCGGCGTGTCGGTGGGCCGCCCCCGGGCCAGCACCATGTTCCAGCTGGAGCTGTGAGCCTCTGCCTGGCTGCCCCACGAATGCACGCCGGAACTCACGGTGTCCCGTGAGCTCTGAGAGGCCTTTGACGGGTTCTGAAACGAGAGTGGGTGCGACTCAGGCCCCTGGGCTCGGGGGACCATCTCTGGCCTTGGCTGGATTTGGGGCACAGGGCCCTCCCCTGGGGTGAGGAACTGCTCCCGTCCTGGGCTGGAGTGTGGCTCTCCTGGGCACTTTTGGGGCTAAGCAGGGGGCTGGGGTGAGGAATATTTCTAGGGGGATCCAAGCCCACATCTTCTTCCCACTATCCCTAGTAGCCAAACCCTTCCCCAGTTCCCAGGTGTGCTGAAGACAGATGGCCGCCTCCTGAGAAGCTACTGCCCCCTGCCCTGGAGGGGAGCCCTTCCGAAAGGGAGGGGTGACTCCCATCAGCCTGCCTTTACCACCACTTGCACTCAGCCCGCTCACCAGCTCACCTTCTCACTGTCGTCTGGCAGAGAGAGGCTGTCGATGCTGAGGCACGAGAGGATCTGCTCCTGCTCCTCCAGCGAGAAGGGCTGGGACAGGCTGTTCAGAAACAGTTCTGCAGAGAAGAGGCAGAGGACGGCCGTGGAAGAGTGGGAGCGGCCGGGCCGCGTGCCCAGGGCCCCAGGAGCCCTGGCTGGGGCTGTCCGTACCTATTTCCAGCTGCTGCAGCTCCTGCTCAGGGACGGTTGCCTTCCGCTCGGCGGAGCCGGGATTCTTGGCAGGGGCCGCCTCCAGGGAGGACAGAGGCAATGGCTCCCATGGCCCACACTCCTCCTTGCCCCAGTTCAGGCTCGGAGACTTGTTCCGCTCTGGGGGCTCTGGGGGTAGTGGAGGTTGGAGCTGAGGGGCCCCGCCTGTTGTGTCAACAGCTGGCTGGGGCCCCGGGGCCCCAGGAGAGAGCTCCCTCGGCTGGACAGGCAGGGTCTGGTGAGAGTGGCCCTGGCTGGCCGGTGCCTGGGCTGGGTGTGGCGGTGGCTGTCTCGGCTCTTTGTACTCGCCCCTCCAGGGGCTCCGCAGACCGCCCACTACAAAACAGAGCACGCTCGGTGAGGGGGAGCAGGCCTCAGCCTCTGGGCCAGGCCACGAGGTCCTTCCTGAGCAGAGGGCTGGGAGCAAGCAGTGAGGGAGGACTCTTGTCCCACTAAGGGACACAATTTAGGAGGGCGCCAGGTGGTCTTGGAGGAGGCCTCTTCCAGAAGATGGCCCTCTCCAATGGGAACACGACGGTACATCTGTTTATTCCATCTTCCTTCTAGGTAACAATCGCAAATTTAAAAATGACAGAAATGGCTCCAGGGAAGGATTCTGTCACTAGTAAAGAGATTTAAAAACAGCCCTGAGGTCACAGCAACTTCGAGTTCCCATGTAAACTGGCCTCCTTGACCTCCCCCGGCCATCTCTCTTACCCGCCCCCCCCCCCCCCCCCCCCCCCCCGCCCTTCCCCGGGGGCCAAAAACTCTGGAGCGTGGGGTCAGTTCATCTGTGTTTGTGGGGGGGGGCATGCAAGGTCTCTCTCCTGTTTTATTTATTCCCCTCTGACTCCCATAACCACTGCCTTTCCCCTGCCCACCTCCCGGTGACGTTCTAGTGTTTGATGTGGCACTTGGGGTTCGATCATATTTTTGCAAAGTGTGTGCTGTTTTTTGGTTTTTTTTTAAAGATTTTATTTATTTATTTGACAGATACACAGCGAGAGAGGGAACACAAGCAGAGGGAGTGGGAGACGGAGAAGCAGGCTTGCCTGCGGAGCAGGGAGCCCGATGCGGGGCTCGATCCCAGGACCCTGGGACCATGACCTGAGCCGAAGGCAGACGCTTAATGACTGAGCCACCCAGGCGCCCCTGTGTTGTTTTTATTTATCAATATTTAATTTACAAATAAGGCATCGTTTTCTAGGCCTTGCTCTGTCCATTTACCCGGCACTATGGTTTGAAAATCGGGCTGGGCTGCTTTGTGAACACTGACTTGCTTTCACTGCCGTCTGGTGCTCCATGGGACACAGCCAGCGCCACCCCTGCCTTTGGCCCCTCCACTCTTCCGGGAAGAGACGTGCCACTGCACCCTACGCCCCTCCCACAGGTGTGCAGATGTCTGCGGGTGCTGCGAGGTGCCCTCCGGCAGAGCTAAGGGCCACTGCCCCACATCCTTCCGCCACTTAGTGTTACTAACTTTCTACCTTTTCTCACTTAGTGGCTGGTAAGTGCTACCTGGCTTTATGTCACATTCACTGATTACTAATGAGCTTGAGCCCCCCTTTATTTACTTATTTATTTATTTTCGATTTTATTTATTTATTTGACAGAGAGACACAGCGAGATAGGAAACACAAGCAGGGGTAGGGTCAGAGGGAGAAGCAGGCTTCCCGCCGAGCAGGGAGCCGGATATGGGGCTCGATCCCAGGACCCTGGGACCATGACCTGAGCCGAAGGTGGGCACTTAATGACTGAGCCACTCCGGCGCCCCTTGAGCCCCCCCTTTAATGTTGTAGTCCCTGTCCCCCATCGACTGAGCTTCGAGGCACAGTACAAAGCATCTCTCACACCACCGGTCTTCTAACAAGCCCATGGTGGGTTTCATCGCCCTGCTCTAGATGGGGACACCAAGGCTCTGAGAGGTCGAGTACCTTGCCCTTGACCACTGCACCACGCTGTCGCCTCTCCAGCCCCTGCGGCCCGTGGGGGGCTCTTACCGTGCTGCAGAGCCAGGCTGACCTTTCCCCCCAGCTCCACTGCAGACGCACGGCGGCCGGGCTCCTTCCTCAGCCCCTCCTGGATGGCCTGGGCGGTGAGCGGGGCGCAGGAGGGTGGGATCTCCTTCACAGGTGGAGGCTCGCTGGCGATCTGTGGGTCAGAAGGTGACACGTGTGGCCTGTCCCCCCTCATTCCCCAGCACCCAGCTTTCTGTTCTTGCTCTTCCCCACTTTCCCCTGCCCTGCCGTGCTGGGGTCGGCCACAAAGACTGGAGAGGGATGGGACTTTTCCAAGGAAAGGGAAGAAAGGGGCCAGGTAGACACCGGGCAAGGTGGCAAGGTGCACCCAGGACCTCCAGGCTCAACCTGTCAGGAGGCAGGCGGAGGTGGCCCAGGGTATGAGTGGAAGAGAGAGCCCTGACCTGCCGTGAGCTCAAGGGGAGATCCCTCCCTTAGGATCTCCCCTGGGGCCTGTAGATTTGGGTGGCAAGTATTTTAGTCATGATCCCACATTTATGATGAGGCCTCTTCCCGTTCCCATCTGCCACCAAAGAGCAGCCAAAACGGGGTCACTTCAAGCCTGCAGCCTGGGCCCCGAGGCCCTGCTGGCTCCCCCTCCTAGCCATCCCAGGCACTGTCACTGACCTTGAGGCAGAGCGGCCCCCTGAAGTACTGGGTCCAAGGGTGGCAGCCGTTGAGCATGTGGAGCATCATGCAACAGCTGCTCCAGATGTCCACCTTGGCATCACAGGGCTTGCCCATCACCACCTCTGGGGCCATGTGGGTCTCTGTGCCGGGGATGTAGTCCCCTGAGAAGGTGGCGTGAGACCGAAAAGCCAACTGTGAACTCTGACGGGCAAGAGCCTTGGCAATAACCACCCCCCCCCAGCCGCCCCCAGTCAATTCCTGAAATACCTGGAATTTGTCTCTGTTAAAGTACCTCAAATAGAGAGAGAGGAAGCTTCCAGATCAAACTTGCTGGGGACGAGCTAAATCAGGGGCTCTGCTGGGAACTAGTATAAAGAATGTATCACCCAAAATAGGGGCTCGGCCCTTTGGACCCAATCCTTAGAATACTTTTTTAAAAATGGGGAGGGGCCTGAACATTGAAAAGTAGGTTGTAGGAGACTAATTAATGGTTTGATGTTTCTGAAATTTTGGTGGGTGAAGAAAAAAAAAACCCACAAACTTCAATGCATAGAAGACTAGAAGGATCAATACCAGATGTGAAGATCCCCACCCCCTCTGCCCTGGTGACTTGTGTTTTTTATTTCTGCTCAGTTCTACTTTCTGCAAAAGATTTTAGAAATTATTCTTGTAATAAGAAAAAAACCCAGTAGTTATTTTAAAGTGACGGGCAGGTGTCCGTCTTCAGTCTACATCTTCAGAATTACCAACACAGTCTTTAGTAACAGAATCACTTCTAAAAGACTGTTTTTCTTTTGGTCAAGAAGAAATAATTTTATGCTTAATGCTATAAATGAAAAAAGCAGGGCACAAAATTGGGTTATATCCGCCTTAACTATATACAGGGTTAAAAAAAAAACACAAAGAAAAGACGATGTGGAAGGAATTACTTAAAACGTTCATGATTGTCTCTCTGGGCAAGAGGTGCGGGGAGGGTCCTTTTCCCTTCTAAACCACGTAACTCTGTCGTTGCCAAATATTTTACAATGGATGTGGATTATTTTAATAATCAGAAAACTTAAGTTAAAAACAAACATTTCTCCAGCTACAGAGCCTAGGCCCCTCGGTCAGCCCTCCCGTTGTGCTTCCAGAAACTGCTCAGAGGCCCGGGAGGGCTGAGGCCACAGGCTGGGAGCACAGCTATCCAGAAAAGGCCGCACAAGAGGGTTGGAGCCGTGGGAGCTCCGCGGCAGAAGACCTGGAACAAGGCAGCCACCAGCCTTTCTGTTCCCTCTTCTGTGTAGCAGGAATCTCAGAAACGTGAGCATCTGATCCTTGTTCCTATGTTTAAGCATAAGAGAAGCTTTCTAGAGTTGTTGAGGGGCTGAAATATAATGGTGGACAAAAAGTGCTCACGTCTTGGACTGCTGTTACGGAAAGCCGGGGAGAAGACATGGGGCTAATGCTGAGTCAAGGCTGGGGATGATCATTCTGGGGAGGGCGGTGGGGGGCGGGGCTTACCCGTGACCAATGACTTGCCCAGGCCATCGGGTTGAAGGCACACAGCATGGCCAAAGTCACAGAGGGCTGCACGGCTCCCATCGCTGGACAGGAGCACGTTGTCAGCTGCCGGGCCACCCCAGAGAAGAAGAGGAACAGGTGAGTCACTTCAGGCCCCAGCCCAGTCTGGGCCTCCAGTGAGGCAGTTTCTGGCTGACCCTACGTGGGTTTCATTAGTCATGAGGAAGGCGAGAGCCTTATCGGTTCAGGCTAGAGGCAGGCAGCAGGCCGATCTTGGAGGTACAGGGACAGAGTTTCCTCCTGGAACGCTGCCACTCAGCTCTGCTGTCCCCACCCTCCCCCAGTGGTCGTCGGTGTGTAGACGCTGTGTGGGCAGCACTGCCCACTGGCAACTATGGTGTCAAGCTGAGGGCTTGGGAAACACACCCCCCCTTCCCACTGGCACAGCCTGGTGAGCCTGACTCAGGCCCTGCCACGGGGGATGGCCAGGCAGGCCCAGAAGGATCTGGGAGGAAATCAGGCAGGATGAGGTAAGGAAGGAGCCCACTGGGGACCAGGGCTGTTGGGGCGTGAGCCTCACCTTTGATATCTCCATGCAGAATCCTTCGGGTGTGGAGGTATTCCAGTCCTTCCAGAGCCTGGCCTAGGTAGTAAAGGGCCCGGTCCTCCGGCAGACAGCCCTTCTGCTTTATGAGCTGGCCTAGCGAGCCACCTAGGAGACCAATGGCCAGTCTTTACATGGGGCATTTCCAGGCCTGCAGGCAGGCCAAGGGCAAAGGCCTTCAAACAGTAGGTGGTTGGAAAGTAGGCCTTTCCTGCCAGTGTCACAGGGTCAAGAGGTTAAAATGGAATAACTGGGGACCAAGGTCAAGCTGGGCACCAAGGTCAAGCTGGGCAAGACTTGGGGAAACCCCAAGTCTTGGCTCTGATCCGTGAAGGGGAAAGAGTGGCACCTGGCTCCTTACCTTCCAGCAGTTCCATGAAGATGTTGACCCAAGGACCCTCCTTCACAGCTCCATACAAAGGGACAATCCTGGGTGAGGTCAATCCCGCACATGCCATCAACTCTTCTGCCCGAAACACTTCGATGCGCACCTGGCAGGGCCCACGTGAGTCAGGGTGAGGGCCCAGGCTGCTTCCCTGGCATCCTGGCAGGACCCTCGATGCTCCCTGCACGGAGACTGCTGATGCTCCCTATGTCCATTCTGAGGCCAGGCAGGGCCGTGATGGGCCTACTGGACCCTCAGAGACTAAACTGTGTACCCTGGGGGGGGGGCGGGTAGGTCACGTTCAACTTATAGTACTTGCTTAAAGTTCTGTACTGCCGATATGTGTGGAAACACTTAGAATCACACAGAAACTATTACCCTTATCCAGGCCCCTGGCGTGCTGCCCACCCTCAAATCTGCCAAACACAGAACTTTTTCTCCCCCCGGCCCAAATGGCTGGGCCATTTCTAGGACGTGGGACCTTTTGTTTATCAACATCCACATCTATTCCCCAGAGGCTGGGTTTCCATCTTATCTGCAGCCAGGGCCCATGCAGCCAAGATCCTGGCTCTGTCAGCACCCTTCTCAGCACTTTTCTCAACTCGGAATTATTTGTCTTTTCCCCTGAGGATGAAAATGTCCATGTAGACGGAGCAAGGCTTGTTTATTCTGTTTGCAGCTGTTTCCCCAGGATCTGGGCCTAAGAGAGGCTTCTCAGGGGGAGTGGCTTAGCCAAGGCCCCTCCCGAAGGGACCACACACTCCTTTGTGTGGGGACCAGCATAGCATGGCGGGAAGAAATAGGCCTGGGATACAAACATCCTAGACCAAGACTCTGGCTTGGCCATTTCCAAAGGTAGATTACTTTCCCTAAGCTCTCTGTTTCCATATGCAAATAAACAGTGGTGACGGGACTTGGAGGGATGATAATCAGCACCAGGCCTGGCAACTTGTGGGTGCTTGGGAAATGTTAGGTGCCCACTTCCTCCAGCTCAAGTAAGAGCTGCTTATTAAACACTTAGAATTCCTAACAGAGACATGTCCTCCTTTCTGGCCGCAGCTGGTTCTCGTGTTAGCCTTGAGACGTACCACCAGGGGGCGCCAGTGGCAACCAAACCAGCCTGGAAGAAATCAGGACCTGGCAGAGCTTTGCTCGGAGACACGCTGACTTGGCAGGAGCTCTGCCGATGTGGGGCTTTTGGGCTTTTGGGCTTTTGCCTATCAGTGGAAAATGTCTTCTGGTTACAGAATATCTGGTTTGGTTAATCAACTCGCATAAGCTTTGACTCCTTGTCAGTGTTTCCAGCTCTGAACCTGAGCTGGAAGGAATTCGCTGACAGGACTTGGATTAGCCAATTTCTTTATCTCTCTGGCTCCTGAGCTGAGCTGCAGCCGAAGCACTCTGGGATGCCCCAGAGGACTCAGCGGGGCGCTGCAGGTGTTGGCGTTGGAGGGAAGCAGTGATCTGTGGAACATCACGCAAACTACTAGCTCCAGAGAGTTCAGTTTCAGCATTAGCTGGTGCTCCAGTCTTTCCACAGATCTTTATGGAGCTAGGTTTCTGGAGGCGGCTGTGATAGAAGTATTTTAGGGGGGATAACGTGGAGCAGGAAAGGAAGGTGAGGGTGTCCAGTCGGATTTCAAAATTTGAGAACTGTGCAGTGCCTAACGAGGCATACATCCCATTAGTAATTATGGTTAAGAACAGAAGAAAAATTTTCTTTCCACTTATGCGCATTGTTATTCAAATGATCACCACGTTGTTAGGCTAAACACTATTGTGTGGCCTAATTTACTCAGTAAACGGAACTTTTAGGTACTTGTTTTGGCCTGGGGTGCCATGAAAAATTACTGACACTAAGGGCTGCGAAGAACATTTGAGAACCTCTGCTTTAACTATGAAGAATTCCCTAAAACAATGTTAAAAACCTTCTAACCCAGGGGCGCCAGGCTGGCCCAGTGGGTAGAGCGTGTGACTCTTAATCTCAGGGTTGTAAGTTCGAGCCCTACACTGGGTATAGAGATTACTTAAAATCTTAAAAAAAAAATGTAAAAAAAATTCTCACCCAGACACACGGGGGTCAGAGGGGACACTTCCAAACACAAGGTGCATTAAAAGTCTGTGCCAGCCCCAGGGAGAGCAAGCAGAAAGGGCAGTCCCGACGGAGCTGGGCGGGGAGAACGCACATGGCCTTCCTGCCCAGGGCAGCAGCTGGCCCACCGCTCCTCCCTGGACTTCAGTGTCCTCATCAGGGTCGTGAGATCGAGCCCCGAGCTCCGTGCTCAGTGGGAAGTCTGCTTGGGCTTCTCTTGCCCTCTCCTCCTGCCCACCCCCTCACACATGCATGCGTGCGTGCGCACACACTCTAAAATAAATTTAAAAAACCCCCAAAACTAGTATTTACTGCTTGCTTAAAACACACTGGCACGGTTCTAAGTGCTTTGTAAGCGTTGGTATTTGCATCTTACAGGGGCCTGTGGGGCTGCACTCTCATTGTCCTCATCCAGCGGGCCAAGGAAGCTGAAGTCTGGGCAAGGAACTTACCCAAGGTCACTGGCAGTATCAGCTGGGATTTTGGTTGAGAGCTGCCAGCTACCCTGCTTCACTGAAGGCCTTTCCAGGAGTCTGAGCTTTTATATCCAGACCGTCCCCCCTCCCCCCACATCCATTCAGGAGCGAGCATACTCCCGTGGGGGAAGTGTGGTCAGCCATCCCCTAACTGCCAAATCCACAAGCCACCTCCCTCGGCTTAACTGCCTGCGTGCTGACACTGGGCATTGATTTTTCCTTCTTGAGACTCTCCCCTCTTGTTTAGTATCTGTATCCATTTTATTTCATCCATCAAAAAAGGGATAGTCACAATTCTGTATATTCTTTTAAAGATCTCAGGAACATAAAATATGTGAAAGTAACTAACACAGTACCGGGCACACAGTAGTCCAATAAACAGAGGGCACCCCCCTCATTTCCTCTTTACCATGGCAATATTCTGCCCTCAGTTCTAGTTCTGCTTCCTCAACACATGGCCAGGCTGCCCTCACTCAGGTACCTCGCTAATGGCTGCTTCTACGTAAATGTCCACCCCCCCTTACAACCTGAGCTCCTTTGGGGCAGGCGTGTGGATTCTGCAACTCTGTCTCCAGCCCCTGGCACAGTGTGCTTGGTAACAGCTGGCTGGATTTGGCCAAGGCGACACCAACCCAGATCAGTGGCAGAGTCAAAAGGAGGCTCCCAGAACTCCATGCTCGAGCCAGATGTTCTTAAATAAATGGTTCTTAATCCTCTTTGGGCCACAGGGCCCTCTGAAAATCTGACGCATGATACAGACTTCCCAACCAAAATGTGTGTGTGCATACACACCACATACAACCACACCACAGAATAAAGTTTCAGGAGTTCGTGCCATCTATAAAATTCATCCACTGACTAGGATATGAACTTCTACATTGGCTGATAAAAAGCACTAGAGAGATGTATATGTACCAACAAGGAAATGTGTCCATGATCTACTATTACATGAAAAACAGGGCACAGCTTCTAGAATACAATCTCATTTTAATAAAAGAAACTACATGTTTATGGGGCGCCTGGGTGGCTCAGTCAGGCATCTGCCTTCGGCTCAGGTCATGATCTCAGGGTCCTGGGATCGAGCCCCGCGTCGGGCTCCCTGGGTCTGCTTCTCTCCCTCTCACTGCCCCTCCCCCTGCCCGTGCTCTCTCTCAAATAAAATCTTTTAAAAATAAACTAAATAAACTACTGCCCGTGCTCTCTCTCAAATAAAATCTTTTAAAAATAAACTAAATAAACTACTGCCCGTGCTCTCTCTCAAATAAAATCTTTTAAAAATAAACACATATATATATATGTGTGTATATATACATATATAAAACAAGTCTAAAAAGTCAAAGGGCAGGTACTCTGAGAATGGACTGGGGAACAAGGAGACTTTTGTGTTTTGGGGTATCCTCTGAATTCTTTTAATGAGCCTGTGTTTATTTGCAGTTAAAAGATCAAACAAAACCTTAAAAAACAAAACCCCCTACATAAAACCCTGGACTCAGGGCCAATCAGCATCTGACCCTAGGCCACTGATGTTCTAGAAGGAGGACCGAGGAAGTGCTGTTGTACCACGTGCTGGGTCCTCCTCAGGGAACAGGGGCGGGTGCTCAGACTTGCTCCGACCCCCTGTGCAGCCTGACCTCCGATCCCCGCTCCCTCCCCCAACCCTACCCTCTTAGCCAGGAACCGTTTTTCAGATCTTCCGGCTGAAAATCCTAAAGGACGCCTGTGCCTGCGCGACTCCCCCTGACCGCCTTGTTGGCAGCTGTGTGGGCCGCCAACGAGCCATCCCACTTGAAGTCTTGGGCCGGGGGGGGGGGGGGGGGGGGGGCAGATTCTGAGAGCGGCCAGCTCCAGCAGGCCTAGGCAGCAGCTCCGGCGCTTGGAAGCTCATTCGTTGTGGTTGGAGCTTTTCCGCCTGCATTGGGGAGGTGAGAAAGGGAGTATCTGTCCTGTTCTACTATATCAGGGTTGTTTACCTTGTTGCCTGGGACTCCGAGAACCTCAGCAGGGCAACAGCTGAGCAGCCCAATGACTAAGCTCTCCCCAGCACTGGGCATGGGTTTCCAGGACACTTTACACTCTCACTCTCCTCCCAGCCACCCCTTAGGAGGGACAGCTGAGCCTTCTCCGATGGCCTGCGGGGGGACCTGCGGCTAAGGAGGTTAGGCACGGAGCCTTGGCCTCCAGCGGAGGAGAATGAGCCACGCGGGCAAGAGCTCAGCATTGCCAGCACGGACTCGGGCCAGGGGCAGGCGGCGGGGGTGGAGCCTGCTTGTTTGACATAGTATGTCTGAAGTTTGGGGTAATACCTACGGATAGTCCCCTCTCGGCCTGTCACCTGGTGGCCCAAACTCTCAGACTTGAGCATCCCAGGTCACATACGAGCCAAGGAAGCCAGGTGATTCACATCCGATGTGTGTCCTCACCGCTGAGAGCCACAACTCTGCATGGGGCCCGAGCCGGCTACTTGGTCCTCTTTCCTTTTGGGGATCAGAGTGTCCCTGACAAAACCCACTTGAAAACAAGATCCATCACTGAACTAGCTTATTTCCCTTCATTGTGGGCCAATAACGTGGCCCATGGAAATGTGTCTCATTTCTGCCTCCCGTGGCCCTGGGCGCTATAGCTCCGAGGCTGAGTTTGGGCGGGGAACAAGGCGGCTTCCAGTCAAGGTGAGCTGGGAGTGGGGGCAGGAGAAAAGACCTCCGACGGAGAGCAGGCCCGACACCCAAGGTCTGTGTTCTGCTGATGCTGGGTCTGGACAGGGCCACCTGACCAAAGGAGGCCTCAGTTCCAGGCCCAGCTGTGTGGCTTTAGGCAAGGCACACGACCCTCTCTGGTCTCCAGGTCTATTACTGGTGAAATGGGCCGCAGACGTGATTCACACCTCTGCTCGCATCAAATCCTAGGACCATGAGCCTCCTCCCCCACCCCTTTTCTAAAGAGTGGTTCACAGCCGAACTCTGGAGACAGACAAGCCTGGGTCTCTTGCTGTAAGTCGCATTTCCTCATAACGTCCACTTCCCAGGACCTCTTATTCCTGCCAACAGGAGGCAGAACCTGCACCTAACTCAGATCTGACTCCTCAGGGCCCAGCCTCATCCAAGAGGCACCTGTTAGGTACAGGCTACTGTTCCGGGTATTACCTTCTGGCCCAGGTGTGAGCACTCCCACTGTATGGGGTTTAGGGGTTTTAGCTCAACATGATGAGCCAACTGCCTTTCAGGTTTGGACTTGCCCCTAAGGCCCTGGCATCAGGAGTGACCCAGGACGCGTGCACACTTGCACACTCCGACATACACGCATACCAAATGCAGCTCCCAGGCTGGGACATGTGACTGACACTGCTCCCTTCCAGTTCCAGCTGACCCCAGGGTGCCCAGCGACAGCCAGGCTCCGTTAACAAGTCAGACCCACGGCTGCCCTGGGATTGCCCTTGAAAGAAAGCAGAGGGAATACACCAGGGACACCTGCCTGGCTTCCCTCTGCAGCCCCCAGAGCCTGGGCATACCTTTTCCTTTTTGGCGTACCTTTTTGACGGCACACTGGAAACCAGTCTGCTTGTCCTCCATCCTGTGCACCTCTCCGAAGGAGCCTCTGCCCAGGCAGGGCTGGTGCGTGGCCCAGTGGACCTCCTCTCGGTACTCATAATCCACCGGCTTGAGTTTCTGGGGTTGGCAGGAGAGAGGCCCGTTTCAGTGGCCGGGGCAGCAGAGGGACAAAAGGTTACCGTGAGGAAGGCGCTCTGGGCGGCAGTCTTTGTCCGCCTGCTCGGGTGGAGCCCTTATAACCAAAGACCCCAGCGGGTCTGAGGCAGGGCTCTGGAGGGGCAGGACCAGAGCGGGTTACAGGAATAAGTGAAGGCAAAGGAGAGCTTCGCAGGTGGCCCGAGTCTAGTTGATCCTTGTGATGAAAGATCCTTCTCCCTGGGCTTTGTGGTTGTGGGACAGAAACGGAACTGTCAACAACCTTGACAATGAAAAAATACAGCTCAGGAGCTATAAGGTAAAAGAAAGGGAAGGGACTGCAAAGAGGGGTAGGGGGCAAGGGATCGTGTCAAAGATGGATGGAATAAGCCCCAGAAACCTAAGTCTGGTAAAATGACTTAGAGTCACAAATCTCTCCAGTAGAGAACTGGGGTGGGGGGAAGAAGGCAGGGCAGGGGGTAGTGCAGATGGGCAAAATCCTGGTCTTTCACAGCAGGGGTGGGGAGTGAGCATCTGTGGTTGATACTGCCAATTCCTGTTTCTCAGAATACGCATCATTCATCACACACACATGCACAACAGCCATAGCAATAATGAGCTAACCAACCAGAAGAACTCAAAATAGAAATCTCTAAAGAGCCTGAAGAGTGACCTGGAGGTGGAGTGGGGGGTACTGCCTCTCGCCAAAGGTACGCACTTTCCTACTATCTGACGTGTTCTCATGCGCACGAGTGACTTCCATAAAGAGCAAAGACCACCGCCCCCAAGGGCGGAAGTGGAGAGTGGGTGTGGCAGGTTTCCAGTGATGCTGCCCAACCCCCCCCCCTTCAGCAGGTCCAACCTGACTGCCAGCTGGCGATCTCGGCCCCAGAGTGGGTGGCACCTGTGCAGGTGTGTGGGGGCTCGCTTACCTCCGTAAGCAGGACCCCCTCGCTGTCCTCAGTCTCGGGGCTGGGCTTTCGGGGCTTCGAACCCCCTGCCGACCAGGTCTTGGCCAGGCTGGCCAGGCTGTGGGCCTGGCCGGAGCTCACGCTGCCCTGCAGGGCGTGTACCAGGTACTCCTCCACAGAAAACTTCTCCCGCGGGCCACGGGATGGGCAGCCGGGCTCCAGGTGGGGGCCAGGCACCGGCTTCTGACTGTCCACGCAGGCCAGTTTGCTCAGGTAAGGGCCAGCCAGGGGCTGCTGGCTCTCTATGCCAGTCAGTTTGTCTAGGAAGAAGGACTCTAAGGGGTGAGGTTTCCAGGGCTGGAGAGGATGGAATGGGAAGGGATGGGGCAGCCTGCTGTAAGGGAAGGGGTGCACGGGGTGGGGCAGGGGGCCGAGGGCCTGCGGGTGGTGGAGTTTCCACACATGATTTAGACATTGCAAGGGGCTGATCAGTTTGTGGAGTTCCGAGCGAGGCAGGGCCGGCCGCAGGTCCTCCTCGAGTTTCTTGAAACACAGTCGGCCAAGGCCTGGCTCCTTTGGAGGCTTGGTGAACTGGAGGGCATTTCTAACATACGCGGGGCCTAGCGGAGATTCATCCTCCTGTGCAGGAGAACGCAGGTGTTAGGACCCGGGCCCAGGGCCGAGGCCCCAGCAGCATCCTGAAGGCCCGCGCAGCATCCCGAAGGCCCCGGGAGCCTGGGGTCTGGGCTGTGGTGGTGACTCTTACCTGCACGGGGACTGTGCAGCTCTCCTGCTCCGGGGTCCTGGGGAGGGGTTTGGCCAAGGCCACTCCGGCCTGCGCCAGGGACTTCGAGCTCTTCTTCTTGCGCTTCTTCTGGGCTTTGCTGCGGCGCTTCCCTTTCCAACACACACGGGCCATTTTGCCCTCCGTTGCGTGGGCCACATTGTTGGGGATCTGATCAAGGCTCTCGGACTGGCTGTCGAAAGGGACAGATCCGCAGGTTGAGTGTGAGGCAGTGGGGTGGCGGGGGGACGGCTCAGGAACTGCGGTTAGAGTCGTAGAGACCCCCGAGGTCAGATCCTAGCTTGGTGAGTGCTTGTGTAAACGTGGGAAGGGTCCTCAACCCCAAGGAACCTCAGTTTTCTCATTTATAAAATGGGATTAGGATTTCCTGCCATGCAGACGAAGCTGGGGTTTAAAGGAAACTGCTCATTTCAAAAGCCTACCTCAGCGCCTGATCCCAAAGCAAGCTTCCGACAGACAGCAGTTATTACTACCGTGATGGGGCGCACGCTGTTCTTCGGGGGGGGGATGGGTAGATGCAAGGTTCCCACACTGCTCTCCAGGGTGGGCTGTCCCTGGAGAGGTCCCCGGGTGCAGGGGGGGGGGCATATGACTCGGAGGGCCACACTCCGCAGCGGGCACTCTCAGCTCTGACAAGAGTCTGTTTCTGTTGCCTCTGAATGAGGGACAGTTGAGTGTGGGCACCCCCACCCCCATTGGTTCCTGGAGATCCCTGGTTTCCGGGAGTGTAAGTTGCTGCATAAACACAGACGCCATTGGGGTGCCTGGGTGGCTCAGTCAGTTAAGCACCTGCCTTCGGCTCAGGTCACGATCCCGGGGGGAGGGGGGGGTCCCTGCTCAGTGGGGAGTCTGCTTCTCCCTCTGCCCCCACACCCCCCTCATGCTTGTGCCCTCTCTCTCTTGCTCTCTCTGAAATAAAAAAATAAAATCTTTAAAAAAACAAAAAAACAAAAAGTCTCGGCTGATGCCTGGTACCAGGGAGCCTTCCATTCTCTACCAGCCTAGAGGCTCACTACCACTGTGGATCCAAGCTGGCTCTTGGTGTTACGGCACCGGCCACAGAAGAGTGTCTGAAAAAGTCACTGCCAAATAGCTGTGCAGCAGACCACAGCCTCAGCTGCCCCCGCAGTGGCCTCACCTTCTTCTCCCCAACAAAGGAGGCAGATTCACAGCAGTCCTAGGGGCTGCTAAAGGCCTATGGGCTTCTCTCAGGCAGCTGAAAGAAATGGGCCCTGAGAAACCCCCTACCCTGGGCCAAAAGGCATCGGGGGCAGCGTAAGGCATGTGATCTGACACTGAGCATTTCTTGGTTCAAGGGCAGCAGCCCTCCCCCAGCCTTTTTCATCACTAGCACTTGGCAAATCCCAATGATAAAAAGGTCAGCCTGTTGGTAGAGGAGGGAACTGTCTCCAGGTTCAACTTGCAGTTAGCCAAAAAATCATCTTTGGGGATGGGGAGCCTGGGAACAGACCAAGCCTCACTCTGGCTTCCTTTCCGTGGGGCCACCCAGCTGCGAATCTGTCGGTCCCTTCCTGTGTCCAAACCCTCATCCCTCCCTGGGCGTGTCTCGCAGGAGAAAAGACACCAGCGGGTTTCTCCCACAGTTACAGCGGCCCCTCGGCACCTGTGTTCCCGGTCACGCACCACTGGGAAAGTGACTCCTGTTCGCAGCACCCTCCCTACTGATGGGAAATGAGAGGGGAGCAGCAAGGACTCTGAGGAGAATAAAAATAAAATGTCAAGCTGACGGGACCCAGAGGCAGTCATCCACACTCCGTGAAAAGCTTTTGAAAAGCTTCTTTGGCTGACAGAGCAGTTCAGCCAGGAAAACCTGGGCGGGTTCCAAGAGCTGAACCACAGGTGCTGAAGGAGGGAGCCAGGGGTCACTGGGGAGCGGCCGGGGCAAGCAGCCGGGGGAGGGAGGATTTGGTTTCAGGTCCCTGGGACCCACGCGAGCTGGCCTCCTTACCTGTAGTGTTTGGACCCAGCAATGAAGATCCGCTCTGAAAAGGTGGGGCTGAACTCTTGGCTGTTTTCACCTTGTGAGTAAAGGAAAAGAGGTTGGACGAGCAGAAAGGAGGAGAGGAAGAACAAGACCTGGGCACTGAGGACAGAGACATCTTAGAGACACCCTCTCGGGCCGCTGCCCCTCTCACCCCACCCTCCTGCTCAACAAGAGCAGAGGGCAATGCCAACAACGGGGGCAGAAGGGTGCCCACCTCCCTTCACTAACGTGCTGCTTAGGTGACGTCATAGAACACACCCAACACAGCGGCCGGTACATAGTAACAGCTCAATAAACACCAGCTGTCGTGTACTTCTACGTGACTGTGTATGCGCCTACTAGGACCATCATGTCACCCACTGTTTTACTTTGTATTCTCTCATCTCTCCTCAAAAGCCAGCCAGAGGGAGTGGAAGACAGGGGAAGGATGTGTACATGTCGAAAATGCCACCTGTCTCCCCAGGCTGTATCCCAAGAAATCTTAGAGGGTAGGGGGGACAGAGGAGGACTTCTGGCCTCAGCCAGGCACCCAGGAGTTTCTCAGGCTCTGGTGGCAGCCACCATGCCGAGTCATTTGGAAGTACTGTGAGTGCAAGCAGAGAGGACCAGACAGGCCCCACCCTGCATTGGCCTATGTCCCCTTGACTGGCCCAGCAGGCCAAAGAGCAGGTGTTCATTCTCTGGGGTGGAGCCACCTCAACGTAGAAGGTGGGGAAGGGCCTAGAGGCCCCAGAGGGGCTTTCCAAGAGACCTGGCCTTTCCTGTCTGGGGCCTCTCCAGAGATGCTCAGGTTGCCCAAAGTCACAGCACAAGCTGATGGCCTGCTTGACGATCCTGCCAAGAGCCCCAGGACCTGTGAAGCCTCCCGGCTCTCCTCTCCTGCTCCGCTCATGATAGACAAAAGCCTCCACACACCACTCCTCCCTTCTGTGTTCCAGCCCCCGGCACGGTGACAGCTCCCACTTCAACTCTTTCTTGGCTTACCACCCCCCAGTTGTGTCTTGTGAAAATCTCCGATCGCGGTCAACTCTGACCTTCCTCCCCCATGCCCTGCCACACTGGCACGAGGACTGTGCCCACCTGCAGGCCCGCCCGCCTGCCCTCTGTCACCAGCCCCGGTCTGGGCCCTTACATTCGGCCTGGGCAATGATGGAGATGGCGGCCAGTCCTCCCTCGGAGCCTTCCTTGGCAGTGCCTTTGGTGATCACGTCGTTCAGGATGTCCCACTTCCCGCAGAACACGGGGCTCTTCTCCACAGCCTCGAGCTTGTTGACGGGGCCTTGCTTCTTCCCCATTGCCTGTGTCTTCTCCTTGGCTTTGGCGAGCTCTTTCTGCTGCCCGGCTGCCGAACCAGGGGCGCCTGGGCAGGCCATTTCCATCACTGCCATCTCCCAGGCTCACACTCACCCTGAGGGACCAGACGCAGAACAGGCTGGGTTAGAGGAGAAAAGTGGGGGCGAGGCTTTTGACCTCTTTCTGCCTCATATATTTATCTTCCAAACACCCCAATGGCAAAGGAGTCAACCCTTCTTGTTCCATGTGGCATGAGCCCTCACCCTGGCTCCTGCTAGCACACCCCCCCAAGCAGACTCCTTTCATTCTGCCCAGCGAGGAGGATTCCAGCCCACTCCTCCAGCATGGCCAGGGCACAAACATCTGGGTTTGTCCTTTCTTGCTTTTATAAATAATGGCCGAATCTCCTTCTGGTTTTTTTTTTTTTTTTTTTATGCTGAATTTTGCTCTCCCGGAACGTGGTGGTAGATTCCATACTCCAAAACCACCAGTCACCTCACTGACTCTGCACAAACCTTGCCTTCTCAGAGGACATGTCTACACTGGCCACAGTGGCTTTTCTCCAAATGGGGAAAATCAAATTTTTGTTCCCTAGCAGGAGGTAGATACATGTATGTGTGCATGCATAGATTTACGTGTGAATATATACATTACACGCGCGCGCACACATACACACACACATACAACATTTTACAAAGTCTACAAATCAGCGTGCAAATGGCAGCGCCAGCACTTGGCTCTTTTCCCAGGACGCATCTGTCTGTGGCCTTCCAGAAGGAACTGACATGCTTCTTTCCGTACTCATTGCTGAAAACCTCTCCTAGGTATGAGTTTTCTTTCAGGCAACATTAGTAGTGGAATATTTATATTAGCGCCCCCAACACCAATCTATACCTCTAGGACTCCGAAGATTAAGCGCAGGGCTTCATGTCTCACTGGGTTCTATCTCCAGCAGCCCTGTGCGTTCCCCGGAAGCCCCAAGGGAGAGTGAGCCCAGTGTTGAGACTATCTTGTGCAAACAGCACGTAGACTAGAACTGTCATGAAAGTGATCTGCACTGATCTGGGATAGCGACCCTATGGGAACCTTTTGAAAGACTGGGCCTGTGAGCTCCCAAAGCGCAGGTCCCTCCAAGTCGGGACTTGCTTTCCACCAAGCCTGAGAAGGCACCGCATTCAGACAAGTTTTTTTTTTTTTTTTTTAAGATTTTATTTATTTATTTGAGAGAGAGAATGAGATAGAGCATGAGAGGGGGAAGGGTCAGAGGGTGAAGCAGACTCCCCGCTGAGCAGGGAGCTTGACGCGGGACTCGATCCCGGGACTCCAGGATCATGACTTGAGCCGAAGGCAGTCGCTTAACCAACTGAGCCACCCAGGCGCCCCAGACAGGTTTTTAATAAGTGCTCTCTGCTGGCAGGCTGGTCTAAAGCTGTCGCTAACAGATGCAGTCTTCCCTGGTGGCAGTTCACTCATGCTGGAACACAGTTCCATTCGCTCTTGGGGCAGAAAGGCGGGCCATGTGAAGGCAAACCTCTCCACCGCTGGTCTTTTGTCCTGTGAGGCTAGAAGCTGACCTGGGATGGTGGGGGCCTGGGCATCTCTAGGCTGAAGCTCTCTTCCTACCGAGTCGGCCTCACTGCAACAGCCACGAAGCATGGAACGAGCTCGACTCGGGGCGGGGTGGGGGGAGGGTGAGATGGGCTTGTTGGTCACTACAAATTTGATCCTTCCATTTCTGCCTTCAAGGGTCTGCTGACTCTGAACTCAGAGAGGCTCCAGCTTTCAGTTCAGATGCCTGGGCTTGGCCCTGAATGCCGGACGCTGGGGAGGGGCACGGGTGGCCTCATTGTTACCTGTTGACCTTGAAAAGTCTAAGGGGTGTTCTGACTTCCAAGTGCCCACCTGTCTCAGCCTATTTTTTTTTTAAGATTTATTTATTTATTTTAGAGAGAAAGAGAGAGAGAGAGGTGGAGAGGCACAGAGAGAGAGAGAATCCTCAGGCAGACTCCCCGCTGAGCACGGAACCAGACATGGGGCTTGATCCCAGGACCCTGAGATCAGGACCCGAGCTGAAATCAAGACTTGGCCGCGTAACCAACTCCGCCACCCAGGTGCCCTGTCTCAGCCTCTTTGCCAGAGGAAAAGGGGTCTTAAAAACAAACTGCAAGCCCTCGGAACCTAACACTATTAAAGATGCGCCAAAAGGGACGTCAGGAGTGCTTTAAAATCTCATTTTCATTTGAAGAAACTGATGCTAATTAGGTGGAGACCTGCCCAAGGTCACCCAGCCTTGTGTGGCACCACAGGCCCAGGACCTAGAACCCCTAGCTCCAGGCTGTGCCACCCCCTCCCCGAGTCTCCTGGGCTCCAGGCAAACACAAGGGGGAAACTCATGGCCCTGTTTGGTCAGAAGGCTCCTGAGGGTGGGGGTGGTGCCCTCAGCGTATAGCACAGTGGGGCACAGAGGAGATGATCGCTGTTGGCTGAATGGGGGTATCAGAGGATGACCTTCAGAGACAGGATGATTCCGAGCACCAGGGATGAAGAGAAAGTCCCATCTGGAGTGAGAGAAATGAGGCCAAGGTTGTTGCAAGGGCACCCAGCTGTTTGAGATCTAGCTGTGCTTCGGTTCACAGGGCCGGTCTCTGTCGGACATGGCTCATCCTGAGCTACAGCCCTCCAGAGAGGCTGGGGGGCTGCCCCTCGCCCCCAGGAGCCGTCCTGTTGCCTTGGCAGTGAGCTGGGCCACTGGCCAGGGGTCCTGATCCCCCCTCCAGGAGCATGCCGGACTCCCCCGTGCCAGGGAAGCTGAGTCTGAGGCAGCAGGGCTAAGGGCCCCTCTGCAGTTCTCTGATGACTCATCCAACAGCCTGGCAGGCAGAGAGAGGAACAAGCAGCCCGTTGAGAGGCTAACCCAGAAGTTGGCAGCTGAACCTGTGAAGGGCACGGGAGAACAGGCTGACCCTCACCTCCCAGGGGCACAAAATCACAGCCTGGGAGCTGTACAGCTTCTCCGGTGCCACATGACCATGACTCAGACCCTCACTGATAGCCTCCAAGTTCAAGAAGCTATTCTCAGGATACTCTGGCCTGAGAGTAGCTCTCCTACACATTCACACATGTTTGCTCCCTCTCTCCTTCCCCACTTCTACAAGGGTTCTGGCCTACAAAAAACAGGGTTCTGCATTAAGCCTGGGACTGCTGGCCAGGTGGCCTTCCTAGCCCTGAGCTTTGCCCCTGGCTTGTTGCCTCAGACCATTGCCCTGCAGCTTTGCCCCTTCTTTCTCCTGTAGCTTGTGGGGAGTGAAGACTGAGCCAGTTAGGTCTCTGCCTTTGAAGGCAAGTCAAAATCCTGATCCATTACTCAGTCTGGACACTCTCCCCAGCTCCACTCTGGCCTCAAACGTATCCTGCTCCTCTCTCACTGTCAGAGCCGAAGATGTGGGCACGGGTAATAGCCAAACCCACTGAGCTCACCTACAAGGCCACAGAAACCAAAGGGGAAAGAAAAGGTGTGTTATTTTTTCAGTATTCTTTTAGGGCCTGGTGCATGTGCACTGCTTGTCTGTCTTCTATGGGGCCTCGGTGACCACCCCCCCCCGGAGAAGTCTGGTGGTCGCAGTGACTGGGACGGTACCAGAGCGACCCTTGGGCATATCTGTAGGACATGCCTGCTGTGGGCAAGGCTCCTGGGCCCTGAGACAAACCTGGCTCCCTCACCAGCTAGTAAAACTCTTCTGTCCAAGTTGGGGAATTCTTTTTTTTTTTTTAAGTAGGCTCCATGCCCAGTGTGGAGCCCAATGTGGGGCTTGAATTCACAACCCTGAGATCAAAACCTGAGCCAAGATCAAGAGTCAGATGCTTAACCGACTGAGCTACCCAGGCGCCCCCAAATTAGGGAGTTCTTAATGTGGGTTCAAGGACAGCCCCAGGGTGGTCTGTGAGCCACAGAAACTATATACAATTTGTATTTTTACAGGGAAGAGCTCCACAGCTTCCATCATATTTTCCAAGGGTCTGACATTCCCCAGAAGGTTGCTGTAGTCTCTTTAGAAGATCAAGGACATGATTCTGACACCGCTCTTCCATGACAAAGAAGAGCTCAATAATGTAGCAGTTTCCTACCCGACTGCAAGTTAGAATAACCAGATGAGTTCTAAAATGCACTTGCATTTTAGACCTACTGAAACACTTGTGGGCATTAGGCCCAGAATCTGTATTTTTGACAAATTCTCTCGGAGATTCTGATGCCAAGGGGTCAGAGACTGCCATCTGACCCCTGGTCTATACCGTAAGGCTGTCCTGTCCAATATGGCACCACTAGCCACATGTGGCTATTTACATTCAAGTCAATTAAAATTAAGTAAAATTTAAAAATCAGTCCCTCAGTTACACTAGTTACCATATTGGACAGTGCAGATACAGAATGTTTCCATCACTGCAGGAAGTTCAATCAGACAGTTCTTGTTTACAACTATGATAGCAATGTTTTCTCTGACAGCAAAATCTCTGCTCCTAGGATTCTGCGACAGGACTGGAATCTAGGCTAAATGAATTGCCGATTAACTGGAAGGTACAAAAATATGTTTTATTTTGATCTTCAGTGATGATTACCTTCACATTTCAGTTCCCTTTTTTAGTAAGTGCAGTAAAAACACCAGACTAGGAACCAGAAGAGAGGGGTTCTAGCCTTGGCAACTTTTTAAAAAAAAGCCAGTGGGACCATTTTTGTCAAATGAACTCATAGCTCAACGCCCAGTATATAAAAGAGCTAGAAGCGCGCAAATGATATGTAACTCACATGAGAAACAGCTGCTCTGCTAGAGAAGGTGGGCAGGAGCCTCATGAGCTCAGCTTCCCTTCATCCACCAAGGATTTCTGTGGAATCCTAGGTCTTCTCTTCTGAGGAAGAGAGCTTGAAAACCAGTGGCCTAGGAAATCTTGTGAGGTTCCTTCTAGTTCCCCAAATGTAACCGATCTGTCAGGATCCTCTGAGGGCAGGATGACCAATTCAGAATGATCACTGTCGATATTCACTAAGCACCTACCATTATTGACCTCATTTTCAGATGTGAAGACTGAGGCTCCGAGAAGGCCTGGGGCCTGCCAGACCAG